GTACAGGGCAACGAAATGCAGTTTGCATCCATCCAGAAGTGCTTTAGTGATATAGATATATTACAATATATATTAGCAATAATATAGATATGTGAGTATATTACAGAAATGGGTCTATTATGGTATGTTATAATGTACACGGTATGAAGTATGTTGTGAATATTCTATAACTATAAGTATGTACAGGCTGTAGTGAGTACAAGCTATGTACAGGATATGAACAGGATATAAATATGAAAAACTATACAGAATATGAAATAAATAACTTTACAGAATCTGGGATATACAGCTATACAGAAATGGGAACTATGCAAGTTGTAAACAGTTGTAGGATTAAAGATTATCGAATGTACAGAATGATTATTTACACAGAGCTATACAGTAGTGCAGTTAAGATAAGTGAGGGTGTAGATAGTTTCTACAGAGGCTATATAAAGTGCTAGTGGTTGTGAGTGGTGGTTCAGTCCTTGTTATTATTGTGTTTGAGGGTACAGTTGTCCATTGTGGGTGTGTGTATGTTCAGTCCATGAGTTTAACGTGGGTCAGATGTCAGGAGGCAGAGTTCAGGAGTCTGACAGCTGTGGGGAAGAAGCTTAGTCCGGAGGCTCCTGTGGCGCCTCCCAGAGGGCAGGAGGGTGAAGAGTCCATGTGATGGGTGACTGGGGTCTTTGATGATTTTCCCAGCCCTTTTCAGACACCGCTTCCTGTAGATGTCTTTTATGGCAGGAAGTGGTGCTCCGGCGATGCGCTGGGCAGTTTTCACGACCCTCTGCAACGCCTTCCGGTCCGAGGCAGAGCAGTTCCCGTACCAGACTGTTATACAGTTGGTCAGGATGCTCTCGATGGTGCAGCGATAGAAGTTCACCAGGATGTCTGAGGACAGGTGGTTCTTCCTCAGAGTCCTCAAGAAGAAGAGGCGCTGGTGAGCCTTCTTGACCAGCTTGGAGCAGTTGGTCGTCCAGGTGAGATCCTCGGAGATGTGGACTCCCAGGAACTTGAAGCTGCTCACACGCTCCACAGCCGTCCCCTTAATGTGGATGGGTGGATGTGGGTCAGCATTCCTCCTGTAGTCCACGATGAGCTCCTTGGTCTTCTCGGTGTTAAGCAGCAGGTTGTTTCTGTCGCACCACTCAGCCAGACGATCCACCTCCTCCCTGTAGGCGGCCTCATCGTTGTCACTGATGAGGCCAATCACCGTGGTGTCATCTGCAAACTTAATGATGGTGTTGGAACCATCAGCAGGTCTGCAGTCGTGGGTGAAGAGGGAGTAGAGGAAAGGGCTCATCACACAGCCTTGTGGTACACCGGTGTTCATTGTGATGGTAGATGAGCAGCGGTTATCCAGCCGGACATGTTGGGGGCGGTTGGTCAGGAAGTCCAGTAACCATTTGCAGATGAGGGAACTGATACCCAGGTCTGTCAGTTTCCTGATGAGTTGTGAGGGGTGGATTGTATTGAATGCTGAACTGAAGTCTATAAACAGCATTCTGGCGTATGTGTTGTTGTTGGCCAGGTGTGAGAGGACAGAGTGCATTGCGATGGAGACTGCATCCTCTGTGCTCCTGTTCCGGCGGTATGCGAATTGGTGGGGGTCCAGGGTGGGGGGGAGACAGGATTTGAAGTGTGCTAGGACCAGTCGCTCTAAGCACTTAGTGATGATGGGGGTGAGTGCTACTGGGCGGTAATCATTGAGGCAAGATGGGTTGGAGTTTTTGGGTATCGGGACGATGGAGGTGGATTTGAAGCAGGCCGGTACCACAGCGTGGGCCAAGGACAGATTGAATATGTCTGTGAGCACTCCTGCAAGCTCCCCAGAACACGCTCTGAGAACACGCCCGGGGATGCCATCAGGGCCTGCAGCCTTGTGGACATTGATCCTGCTCAGCACCGCTCCTACATCGGTGGGGGAGAGAGTCATAGGTTGGTGGTCTGGCGTCATGTCTGCTTTGGTTGTGGTTGTGGGGTTCCCTCGCTCAAAACGAGCATAAAAGTTGTTGAGCTGTGATATGGACGATCTGCACTTGGTGCGCAGAGGTAAAATGAGTAAATCTAGCAGAGAGGATTATCATGTTGACTTTTTAAAGCTGAAACTGTATCACTACAGTCCATGACTCTGAGGCTGAGTCAAGATCTCAATAAAAATACTGAGCAGCTGTAAATGATGACTCTCCCTTTGCTGCATTAAACATTTAGCAGTTGGTGAATAAAATAACTGTGTTTTTACTTTGTACTCTCGTCCTCTCTGTCTTTTGAGACTAGCTAAAGGCAACTATTCTTGCTTGAATAGTACCTCACTGTCCTGAAAGTTCGTGCTGAATTTGGAAAAAGCAGATTTGCTTAAATCTTAGGGAGCCGAGAGGAACACTAGAAACAGTTAAATATTGCTTGGCTTTCTTTTGTTAGCTGGCCTAAAAACCCCAGCTTGAGATAATGGGCATAGCGATGGTAGTCATTATTAACGTTCTCTTTTAATCTGTTTCAGGCAGTGTACACACTCGTGTGGTTTTTTATGTGACTCTTCTTCCTCGCAAAATGATCCCTATGAGTGACACCCAGTCCAATTCAGAGACATTATCCGATAATGGTAGTGATAAAATATCTATAAGGAATATAAAAATATGATTGTAAACTAGAACACACAAAAACTGCAGGGGTAATGCTCCACAAAATCGTTAACCTGGCACATAGAGCAGTAAAATAAACATTCTAATTGAAATTACCTTTATTGCCGAATGAGCACTCAGTGCTGCTGCTTATTTTTGAAGTGATGTATGGTTCACATTAGAGCTCTAAAACGTTACACTGGATACACTGAAACATTAAAAGTTACAGTCCAGCAACCTATTCAGCTTTAATTTGATGTTATAATGACCACACCTTTGGCCACATCCACCTCCAGTTTGTGCTGTTGTAACTTTACAGCTTGACATCATTTGTGAAGTTAGTAAGGTAGGGTTAATAACTTGCACACATGAGTCACCCTGCAGAGGATGTGGGTCACACTTAAAACCTGCTGTAAAATGATGAACTGGTGAAAAGTGGCTCCTCCAGATGATTTTAAACTAAAGCTCTGAACATAACCTGCTCCAGTTTTGCTTTCAGCAGAAGTTATCATGGTGACTTTAAGCCTGACATAACTCACCAACTTATTTATGTCTTGTACACCACTAAATTAAACCAAATTAATTTAAGGTGATTTTAAATGACCTGGTGGTAGTAACTTAACTTTTGCCTTCCCTGTTTGTTAGCCTCAGACAGACAGTGATGTCGTTCCTGTATTTTACTGGGCTATTTCACATGAGGATTGGTGTGTCTATATGTGCGTGCGTTTGTATTCCTAGTGTGTGCGACCATCATAGTTTGTACTGCTATCTATCTTATCCAGGACAGTATCCTGGTTAAATAAATGTTAAGTAAATAAAATAAAATCTGCTGAGTTAGTTTTTATGTCCTCAGTTGACTGTAGGGAAAATTCAAACATGTTAAAAACCTGTTTTATTCAAAAAGTCTTTTTTTAAATTAGTGTTTGTGTAGATTAAATAAACAGAACTTTTTCCTTATTTTAGTGCTGTTAGCGTTAATTTTTTTAAAATGACGTTAACAGTTAACGTGGGACTGCACGGCACTAACGCGTTAACAAGCTAACCGCGCTAACGCCGTGCAGCCCCACGCACGGGGCGATCCGCATTAACTCGCTAACTGAGATTTGCCGCATTAATGTGGTTATGCCGTTAACTTCTTTTTAACGAGATTAACGCTGACAGCACCAATTTAATTGCATAATTTTCTAGGCTGTATTTCACCCGTTTCCAGCCTTTTTGCTAATGTTTATCTGAGAAAGTACTGGTATTAACAGTACCCACTGACTATCTTCCTTAGGGTGACCTAGGGTGACCATATTTTGATTTCCAAAAAGAGGACACTTGGCCCAGTCATGAAGAACTTTAATGATACTGTTTGCTTAAAGAAAATGTTAACATATTTAAACGATGCCTTCTCTGTGCGGTTAATGAATGTTGAAATAAAAAATGTCATATGGGCTTTTTCAAGTAAACAAGTGCTAAAAATTAACTTAAAAACCCCTCAAATTAAATAATGGTACAGAAATAAGGCCTCATCTGTATAATTTTTTTTTTTTTTTACCAGTACTGGGACTTTACGAGGAAATTTCTTTTGCAGTTGATCTGAAATGCTTCACTTGCGCTTTGGCATCTTTTAAACATCATCAGCGCGCCGTCTGTCCCGTCTGTGAGCGCAGAACAACCACTCACGAAACAGCAGCTTGGGATGACGTCACACATATGGGTAGGCCTATAGAAAAACCCGGACATTTTCATCGATCTCAAAACTCCTCCCAGATGGCCCGGACAGAACGTGAAAAGTGGACATGTCCAGGGAAAAGAGGACAGTTGGTCACCCTACCATAACCATGAGTATGGCATCAACCGTTTCACACCAAAGTTTTGGGCACATAATTGTCATAGTTGGCATTTTGGATTTACTTCAAGTACAGTTTGATTACTTTTAGTTTTCTTTTCTTCTTGTAGATTTTCACAAAAAAGTTCTACATTTGCTGGTCGCTAGCTAACACTATAGTGTTAGCTAACACTAGAACATTATATATTTCATGTCAGTTTCATTGTTTTTTGTGTTTGACTGTATTTGTTATATGTCAAAGATTAAATTCTTTTTCATCAAGCTAGCATGAGCTGGGCAAGTGTCTCAGAGACAAAACTGCATAAAACCAAACAATGCAAGACCCAGATTATTGAGGAAACGCTAGGTGTTTGAAAGCTTGCAAAAAACTTAGCTAGTCCCAAACAAAACATTATTTTCTCAATCTGTTTTCACTGATAGACTGTTGTTCTCAATCCTAACCATCATTGTACCATAAAGTGAAGCACCAAGCCTATGGGTGGAAAAGTCATAAACTCATAAATTAAGCAAATAACTCAGCTACTAAAGGAAGTATGTGTATAAATCAATAGCCTAGATGGCTCAAGCAACACTTTTATTTGACAGCTATAGAAAGCATATTATATTTTTATATTTATTTATTAATTTACAACATAGTGATTGCAAAGCTTTTCACTAGGAAATTACAGTATTTGAGCAAAATGCCAAATTAATCTTAAGAAAATGTTATCAATAAAATTTAATTATTTAGCTTAAAGGAAATATCGGTATTCACTTACAACGATTTTTTACCTTTATAAATGAACACAAAAGCTTATGTATTCTTGTTTCTATACAAAAAACCTTTTTTATAGTTAAACAGTCTACCCTTTATATTGAAACAAAACATCAAATGTGAAGGACATTAGGAAGATTAACTCATAAAATTAAATACATTTAACCGACTAGATGAGTAGTATCTGTCAATAAGATAAACATATCAAATAAAATATGAATACATTTCATACTATTATGTAAATGTTTTGATCAGCTAAGGATTATTTTCTGGCCATCAGTCAAGCAATCAAAATAGCAAAGTGGTGAAACAGACATTATTATGTCTTCCTCTTGGCCCATGAGATCATAATCTTGAATATACATATACTATACATATATCAGTTTATTCCTTCTTGAGCCATTCAGACATTTAGGCCTTACTCTATCCACTCAGCATGGTCAGGATTAAGTCTGATCTCAGGATAGGACATGTTTCATCTGACGATCTACATCCACTTCGATCCTTATTGTGCAACAGCTGGTCTTAGATCTTCCCTGTGTACTTCAATAAACCAAAGATACCACCACCTGCAATAAAAATGGATTAACTATTATTCATTTATTAATGTCTCGCAAAACAAATATGAGTCCAAGACTAGTCGAGAAATTACTGATTAAATACTCAAAATTGTGAAACACTGTAACAAAAGTCTCAATTATTATTTTCTATCATGTCATTTATCTTAGAGAACCAATTTCTTTCCTAAGAATATTGTAATCCTTTACAACTATCACTAATACATTTTCATAATTTTCACAACTTATTTCCTTCTATATTTGCATATTTTCGTGCCAATAGGCTCCTGTATCTGTAAATAATATTCTCGGTTGCTATGGCTCATCCCCAGTGCCATCCTGGTTAATGAATAACAGATGATATGTGATAGAGGAAGCAGAAATGATGGTAAATTCATGCTCGTGTGTAGTACTGACCGACTGCTCCCACACCGGCAATGGAGCCGATGGTGATGCCCGCTATAGCGCCCGGTGAAAGCCCTGAATTGGATTCCTGAACAATCTCAGTTGTAGGAACTGATTCAGTAGAATTAGTTATAATGGTGGGGATAATGGTGGTGGTGTTGGATGCGGCGTCTGTGGTCGTACTGGATGGGCTGTCTGTGGTCGTGCTTAATGGTCTGTCTGTGGTCGTGCTGGATGGTCTGTCTGTGGTCGTGCTGGATGGTCTGTCTGTGGTCGTGCTGGATGGGCTGTCTGTGGTCGTGCTGGATGGGCTGTCTGTGGTCGTGCTGAATACGTTAGTTGAGGCAGTGGTTTTTGGTGCGATGCTAGTTGATGTCTCTCCTCCACACAGAAATACTGACAGGAAGATCAAAAAGGGTTAAAAGGCAAGATCATACAAAGGTTTCCCAAAAGGTTAACAAACCTCTGTTCCTGTGATGCTCACAGAAACTAGTCACAACTTCTGCCTTAACACGTTTTCTTTTAAACAAAACATTTTCTAAAATTTATTAAAAATGTTTCCAGATTAAAGATCTCAAATTTCAGCCGTTGACATTTATTGTCCAATATCAAGATAATGGAGTTCAGTACTTATTTACAGCTTTGCATTCTTAATGGGAGAATGTCATAGATAATAAACTCAACCTTTGCTCTAATGACGCTATTGAAACAACCCCCCCCGAAGGCCTAACCCTTTCAAGAATTTCAACATTTCCTACTCTGTCTACATGGCCTCCCATCAACCTTCCCTTTGATTACCGGGAAATGCTTTAACTTTGGTCCACCACCATTAAAATTCGCTACGATGGTACGCTACAACTATGATTAGATTCTATGCTAACACCATGAAACAGATCATCCTTCACACAAAAAATGAAAGGTCAGTCTAGATATAGATGTGGCCGAAATTAACCATAATAACTTTTTCAACTTTAAAAAAAAATCATAAACTATGAATTAAACAAAGTTATTTGATGTATATATGCCGAATATTTCAGCCAGCTTCCATTTGAGGGCAAAGTGGCCAGAGATGTTTTTAAGATAATCTTGTTGTGATGCTTTGTGTGTGAATAACAGTTAATTAATAATCTTTAGTTATTCTCTTCACACTCTCTTTAAAAAAAGGTTTTGTCTTCCCTTTTCTAAAAGGATCTTTTTTAAAGGTTTATGTATTGTAATTTTTTTTTACCTGTGGTAAGAAGGCAAAAAGCCGATAGAACAAGACTCAGCTTCATTGTGCTTTGAAATAAATTGACGTAGTCAAAGAGACTCCTCAGGTCAAAAGCTGCATGAAAAACATAAAAGCACAAACATGACGGTGAGTTAATTTCTCTAAAATCTCTCACTTGCAGACAGAAAATCATGAATCCTGAATTTATCATGTGAGACAGATAAGAGTAACTTCAATCAAACTCAGTCATCAATAATATGTGGGTATAATGTATTATACAAGGCAAAAATAATAAAAAATATATTTTTAAATAAATGCCAATTGAGCCTAAATGAATTTCCATGTCATGGCTCGATATCACCAAGAAATCACTGATTTGTAAATACAGGTATAAAAAACACAAAAACTCTCAAGCGAGTATTTGTGGTCACATCAACGGTAATAAGAGTATTTACCCCGATGCCACAGCAGTCTATGAATGAATCCAAAAGATTTAAGAAAACCTCAAGAGAAAAACCGACTTACTCACCTGAGAGGGTGTCACTGATGCCTTGCTTCCCTTCTGCCTCCCATCGGATATATTCAGACAGCTACTTTTATGACCCTGTTATCACCCACCCAGTCATTTCCAGCCCTCCCACATATAATAGCATGTTACCAGAGGTCAATGGAGGATAGTGTTGCAACATGTACAGGATTATCAATACTTTCCAAGGAGATGTAATTGGTGTGCGCTTCCTGTGTGATAGTAAAGCTAAGGTGCTAGGAGTGTGGGCAGGCAAAGCAGTATAGGCCAGCTTATGACGTTTTAGTCCTGTCTGTGTTTTTAACTTCACCTGAGTGTCTTAAACCGTCAGAAAAGTGAATAATATGTGGTATGAATGCAGCCAAGCCCTTTATAGAAGAAAGTAGTTGTGAGGATGTCAGATAATCTATAATGTAATAAAGCAAGTGGCAACATCAAAAACAGGCTATCTTTAAGAGAAGGGAAGGTCATCTGAAAGGCACCTGTTGTGGCCGAACTCCTTTTTTTCTCTCACAGGCAAGAACGGAATTACATAGTCATGTTACAAATTAATCTGGTATTGATAGTTTCCATACAATTTTCCTATTAGTACTCGATAATCATTAACTTTTCCCTCGATTTCGCCTCGTGTTGTATCTGCTTTACTATGTATTTTTGAGGAAAACTTGCAAAAAAAGAGGGAGCCATAGCAACCGTTTCTACAGAGTTACACTTACCTGAAAATGTTCAGCACGTCACATACGAGGTCTTTACGTTATTTTTACTTGCTTCTTCACCTTATCTTTGAGGCACTTGCTAGCAGTGGTGGCTGGAAAGACTAAATACAGAGGCTACAGAGCTGGGTAAATCGTGGTCACTGCCTCCTGTTTGCTCAGCTTGGCGAGCTGTCCAGCCAACTGTTTCTGAAAACACACCGTCACTATAGCACAGCAGCATGTCCTTAACACAATTTGGCGTGAAAGAGTCAAAGCTGCCAGTGTTTTTTCCCCCCACAGTGACTAGCAACTGTACAACAAATGCAAAACAAATGCAGCGATGGGAGAGTTTCACTTTTTCTGAGCCGGTGAAAAAGGCCCACTGTTGATGATCATGTGTGAACCTTAAAAGTTTACTACATTCTAGAGAGCAATATGTCAAGTGTACTCTTGAAATTTTTGATATTCTTGAATTTCCAGTTTTCTTGGAAAGTTTTGAAAAGTTATGCAAGCAAATCGGGGATCAGAATGAGCTAGAAATGCAATTTAAGTGACTTTCAATGTAGCATGGCTACTGAAAAGTTTAGGCTTTGTAGTAAACGGTCTAAAAAGGAGGAAATATACAGTGAGAATCAGTTCTTCTTGTTGGTGTTGTATGCAGAGGCATCTCTGAAGGCACAATGCAGATGGGGAGATGTGATGGCCCACTATGCCCTGCTTTCCTTCTCATCTGCAGGTACCGATGATACTGGCAACACCTGGGCCCAGTGTGTCAGAGCAAGATATATGTTTTTTAAATGGGGGAAAAGGAAAGAGGAAAAAAGGAAATCTAGTTTTAAATGCTGCTCGGCTACATGAGCCAAGAGCTTCCTCAGCAGATCTGTGCTCTCTTCTCAGTTGTATGTCATCTGCTATTATTGGATTGGGTTTAAGCAGCGCAAGCGTGCTAGCAAGACAAACCATTAAGTGCTTTAATGCACCGCAAGTAGAATTTATAAATGGTTTCTGCATCTCACTGTGAGCCACAGAAGTGATTTGCTGGAGGGATAACCTGGGTTTGACTTTTGCCGAGGCCTCTTGTTTTTGTTCTTTAACAAAACAGTCGAGGAAAAAGAGAGAAAAGAAGAAAAAAAAAGAAATTGGTGTGTGTTTCCAGAATGATATTCACACATGAGGCTTCTTTGTATTTTCAAGTCTTTAAAGTGAGCAGTGGATATTCATTTCAGCTCATTGTTGACTGAAAGTTTGGACGCTCAAAAGCCCAAAGGGGTGAACAAGTAGGTGGACAAGAAACTCTAACAGGCTCCGTGATCCATATCACCCAAGAGCCAAGAAACTAAACAAACAAATAAATGAAATGACCAGAAAAGTAATTTCTTACATTTTTTGTTTGAGTGTAAACACGATTCATCCAAATATCAGTGCAGAAATTCACAAACAAATGTAACAAATGGGCTTGTTTAGCAAATGAAAGAAGAAAAAAGTGCAGAGAGGTTAAACTGACCTGTATTTGAAAGAAGCCACCAACTAAGAATTATTTTGTTAAACAAAAACAGGATGAAACTAATTGGCATCGAAGTGATTAGGAATGTTTAGCAAGATAATATGCATATTGAGGATTCAAATGGAGGCTGTAGCAACTTTGGCTGCCTCACTTCAAATCTAATATTTGACGCTTTAAAGCATTTTGAGAATCAGTTTTTATATAGCACTTTTTTACTCAACCTAAACGCCTCATTTACCTGAACCATTTTTTCTATGCTCAAGTGCTTTCTAACATTCCTGCAGATATCTTGCCCAAGGATATTTGGCATGCAGACTGAAGCAACCAGGGATCAAACCACCAACCTTCCAATTAGAAGACTACCTGGTCTGCCTCCTGATGCACAGCCACCCCCAGTGAGGTAAAGGTCTCTATATAATGATTTAAAACTATCGGGACTACCGAGTCTGTACGCTGATGACAGCAGCTGCTCGAAAAGATCGAATAACATAAAAGCTGTGTAAACAAAAGTGCCACTTCAGTTCTAACTCGATGACATCTGACCTGAGGAGAATGTGTAATAAAAATATAACTTTGTAGTTGAAAAATAATGCGACATGATGAAATAAGTCACTAGAATAAAGGTGTTAAATTGTACTGTCTATAAACTCGCCAAGCAAAAGCAATTATTTAAAAAAGCAAATGTCTGAGAAAGAATCCTTGTGGAACCCCTGAGAGAAAATTAGTTTTCATTAAACATGAAAACTATGATGTGGGATGTGTGAATATTAACCCCATCTTCTAGTCAGTTTCATTATTATGCAGTTTGCGTTCTTAGTTACGTTTTTCAGGAAATGCAATTCCAGCCTGGATTATGATTGTTGGATCTTTTCCAGGGAACAATGCAAACATACAGAAGATAATTTGTTCTTGGACCACATCCAAGTTATACATCAGCGAAGGATGAAGGATGGCTGTGCAGGACTTTGTACTGTTAGGTGAAGAGAAAGTTGCTCTCTACTTTTCATAGAGACATATTGTAGTTTTAACTACATTTTTTTGTATAGCTACCAAGTAAATTCCTATAACTCTTCAGATCATCACATCACAATTATGTCAGAGAGGCGAAACCCTCTACAGTAATATCTGTAGTAATTACGAAGGAGGCAAAGGGTATATTTTTATGGGGCAAAAGATAAAATGAAAGTTATTTTTATCACACTTATTATCTTAAAGGCTAACAGGTTGGGGTCATATAAAATGAGCTCAGTGATCAGATTACGTTTCTTCAAGGACATTCAAAGCCAACGCACACTTTTAAAGATGCAACTTGTGGGTTTTAGAAACTCTGACATTTTTCTGTTTATCTGATACTTCATAGCAAGTCTGCTATTTACTGATTACTTGTATATAACTTATAACTTACTTGTATATAACTGTCAGATAGTGATTATCTTTTATTATTAATCTATCATCTCAAGCACTGTTGCTTTGGCATCTTGTTTGTGAGTTCCTCTGTCCCTCATAACGCCATCACGTTTTAATTTTAGGGTTTAATTAGATTAATCTGAATTCTATTCTATTGACATTCATGCCAATGAATGCACCTATTATAGCCTGATCAATACTAGCTGGTGTGTGGATCATGTGGAAAATATAGTTAATCATGTGAAAAGAATTTCACAGGTACCTGTGCAGGATTGTAAAAGCATGGTCTTACTGTTCCAAATGGAGTTAAGAGATCAAGGTGCTGCTAAACACATGCACATGATTTAATGATTGTTAGCTAATGAGACTACCCACATAAAAGGTTTGGGGAGTTTGACGGTCACAATCCTCCCAGGAGTGGATGTCCCAGCAAATTCATCCTAAAGTCAGACCGTGTAATTCTCTAAGAAACTGCTAAAAACCAAAGAGCTACACCTCAGACCCTAGTGGCCTCAGTTACCATGTTAAATATTATAATTCATGACAGTACGATTAGAACAAGACTGAGCAAGCATGGCTTGTTTAAAAGAGTTGCCAGGGGAAAGCCTTTTCTCTCTTAAAATGAGCTCAGTGATCAGATTACGTTTCTTCAAGGACATTCAAAGCCAACGCACACTTTAGACTTTACACTTTGGATTTCTTCAGGCCAACCAATCACTGACAGCCTTTCATATGTGTTTTTCTCTCCGTGTATGCTTTCACTGCATTGGCAGTGTGTTTAGAGTCATTTTCAGGTTGATAAATGAAGCAGTTACCAATAAGAATTTTTCCAGATGCTACAGCATGGGGAATCAAAATCTGATGGTACTTTTCTGTGTTCATAATTCCATCAATTTTTACAAGATCTCCAACACCAGTGACTGAAACGCAGCCCCAAACCGTGACAGAGCCTCCACTGTGTTTTACAGATGACTGTAGACACTCACTGTTGTAAGGAGGAAATCACTTATGTTATCACTGGTTTTCAGTCCAGCTTGTGTAATTTGGCATACATCAGCATTTCCCTGTTTAACTTCATTAAGAATGGCATCTCAACAGTAGGGCTGCCACAAATTTTTTTGATAGTCGACTAGTCACCAAGTATTTTTGCGATTAGTCGACTAAGATCATGCATCCAGTGGACGTAAAACGTACAGCTTATTGTACCAGCATGCATCTGCTCTTATATAACTATCATTACCTTACAGCTTGAAGTGTTAAGGTATGTGCTAACTAAAAATAAAGACATTATGATAGTTTATTACACTTTTAATGAAATTTGCAGATTGTCTCGGTGGAGACAAACTCAACAGTCTGCTCTTTGCTCCCTCAAATATAACAGGACAATAGCTCACATTTCTGTTTAATCAGTTTTCTGTTTGATGTTTATTCAGCTGTGTGAAAACTATAACTTTAATCTCAGCCAAACCGATTTACTCCGGAACAAATAAAACACTGAAAAAAGCCAGACAATAACATTTTTAAGTTATCTAAGTAAGCTGCCCCCAACCCCGCAAGAGTTGAGGCTCGGGTGTGAAATTTATGGTTTTCAGGATTTTTATCATTAACTCTGTTTCCCTGGGTCTTTTTCTGTTTTGTAGTTGTGTGTCTCATTTTGAAAGAAATATTTACATGTTACCATAGCGACCAGAGAGCATTAAGGGGCATAGAGGAGGATGTTACTCTCAGTGTTGTTAGTGCATTTCAGGAGGACGCTGCTAAAAAAGTTACACAGTTACACAGTGAATTCACGTTTATTATTTTATTTACAAAATACCAGTTTTTGTCTTGGTCGTATCATTTTTTTCAGACAAATTCTTCACCCACTTGTCCACATCCTCTGTGTCGCATCCTTGTCTCTTCTGGTCACTGAGGACACGCTCCGTATTTTGCGGTGGTTTCCGAAGTACAACAAGCAAGTCAAACTTCCTTTGTTGCCTGGTCTTAGACTTGTACATCTTTTGACATCTTACAATCCTGTGATTGCAGCCATTCCCCAACTCTCTGTGAATGGTACTCATGGCCATTGATCAGTGGTCTTTGATCAGTGGGTTTTGGTCAGTGGTTGTTGATCAATGGTCATGAGAATTTGCATAATTAAGATTAAGGAACTGACCTCCCAGCCCATTGTTCCTTCACTGGACTGGTTTCAGTCATTACGCAAATGTACTGTTTATAAGATTGGGAAAACCTGCAGTCAGCTGAGACTGAAGAAGTCACCTGGATGAGTGACG